GTATCACTATGGAAGTAGATTGCCCAACCTTCCTTCCAAGGCTGGTGGTTTTGAAGCTCTAGCCTTTCTGGTTAGCAGTCAAATGCCTTAGGTACCATGCTACCAAAGCTCCCAGATGTTATACAGATGTACTTTATTAGGTTCAGGAAGTTACCTCACTTCCAGATTGCTGACGTCTTTTATCAGAAATGTTGGGAGTTTGCCAAGTATTCCCCCTCCTCCACCTACTGAGATGACTATACGTATGTATGTGTGTATGTATGTATTTTAACACTGACTGATTTTCATTTGATAAAGCAAACTTGCAATTTCTGGCATAATTCCTGTTTAGTCATATTATACTACCCTTTTATAAATCATTGGATTCAACCTGCTAAAACTTTAAGAATTTTTACATCTATGTTTGTAAAGGATAGTGTTTCATAGTTTCCTAATAATGTCTTGGTCTGGTTATCATATAGGAGTAAAACCAGCCTCACAGAATGAATTGGCTTCACAACTCATTCGTTCTATTCCATCCTCTTCAACTGGTGACATAGTTTGTGAATAACTGCTATTCTTACTTAAAAGTATGGTAGCAATCATCAGTCATCTGATCCTGCAGATTTCTTTGTGGAAAACATAATTTCTTAAATACAGTAGATATATGGCTATTAAGGTCATCTACTGCTTACCGCATGACTTTGGAGGAATCTGTCCATTTCATCTAAAAAGCTGAATTTGCTGACATAACATTCATTATACTTCTTTATATCATTTAATATTTGTGCGCCTTGTGATGCTAGATAAAGGTTTATCAATTTTACTGACCTTCTCAAAGAATTGACTTTTGTTGTTTTTGATTTTCTCTGTTGTTTTTCAGTGTCCTATTTTATGAACTTCTCTTCTAATATTTCTCATTTCCTTCAATCTGCTTATTTTGGTTTACATGTGTTCTTCTTATTCTTCTTTCTTAAGGTGGAAACTGAGGTCACTGATTTGTGGCCATTATTCTCTTTTTAAAATAGGTATTTTACACTATAAATTTCCCACTGAGTACTGCTTTTGATGGATCCCTAATATTTTGATACCTTGTGTTTTCATTTTCACTCATTTCAACATTACTTTACATTCTGATTTCTTCTTTGAAACACAGGCTATCTAGAAATATGTTATTTACTTTGCAAGTATTTATAATTTTTCCAAAGATCTTTTTGTTACTGATTTCTAATTTAATTCCATTGTGGTCAGACTACATACTTTATATAAGTTGAATCCACCTAATTTACTGAGATTTGTTTTATGGCCCAAATTATGGTCTAACTTGCTAAGTGTTTCATATGTACCTGAAATGAATGTGCTTTTGTTGAGTGAAGTATTCTATAAAGGTTAAGGACACTGTTCAGATCTCCTGTTGTTGTTGTTATGTGCCGTCAAGTTGGACCCGACTCATAGTGACCTCTCCTCAGGTTTCCGAGGAAGCATCACTACGCAAGTAGATTGCTCAACCTGCCTTCCCAGGAGTGGCTGGTGGGTTTGAACCGCTGGCCTTCTGGTAGCAGTCAAGTGCCTTAGGCACTATGCTACCAGAGCTAATTTTCTAATTATCGAGGGAAACATACTGAAATCTCTCACTATAATTGTATACTTCTCTATTTCTCATTTTAATTCCATCATATTTTTATTGCATATATTTTGAAGGTCTGTGAGTTGGATCTCACTCGACAGCAATGAGTTTATTATTATTTAAATGTTAAGTATTATTATGCCTTTCTGATGAACTGACCCCCTTCATCCTTGACAGTATTCTTTGATATGGAATCTCTGCAGTTTCTTTTGATTACTGTTAGCAATGTGCAAACTTCCTTATCCTTTTTATTTTGAAATTGTTTGTGTCTTTACAGGATAAAGTAGTTCCTTATAGGCAGCATATTGTTCGATCTTGCCCTTAAATCTATTCTGACAATCTCTAACTTTTCATTGGAGTATTTAGATCATTTATATTTTATATAATAACATATCTGGGCTTAAATCTACCCTCAAGCTATTATGTTCTATTTGTCCCAACTCTTCTTTGCTCCCCTTTTCTTATTTGTTTCTTTTAGATTAACTAAGACTGTTTCATTATTCCATTTTAATTCCTTTGTTGGCTTTATCAGATAAAATTGTCCTGTGTTATTTTAATGCTTGCCTTAAGTGTTTTAGAATACATATTTAACTTATTATAGTTTGGCATGAAGAAATATTATAAGCCATTTTGTATAGTATAACAACTTCAAAATAGTATAATATTTCCACTTCTTTCTTCCCTCTCAGCTTTTGTGCTACTCTTGTCATACATTTTACTTCTATTTATGTTTTAAATACATCAATTTATTTTTGTTATTTCTTCGCAATATTCAATTACCTCTTAGAGAGATTTAAATAATATGGGAAAAAATATAGTATGTGCCCACCTAATTTCATAATTTCTTTGTATTGATCCATGTTTCCATGTGGTATAATTTTCCCTCTGTTTGAAGGAATTTTTAAAATTTTTGTTGTTGTTGTACAGGTCTGTCAGTACTGAATTCTTTCAGCTTTTGTATATGTGGACAAGTTTATTTCAACTTTGTTCTTGAAAAATATATTTTCATTGGGTAAACAATTTTAGGTTGTCAGGTTTTCTTTCTTCACTGTCCTCTAGCTTGCACTATTTCTGGTAAGAAACATTCTGTAATCCTTATGCTTTTTTTCTGGGTATAACATGTCTCTTTTCCTCTGGCATTTTTTAATATGTACTTTTTATCCCTGGTTTTAAGCAATTTGATTATAACATGTCTTGGTGTAGTTTTCTTCATGTTTCTTGTGCTTCAAGCTTCATTGAGTTTCTTGCATCTGTAAGTTCATAGTTTTCATCAAATTTGGAAATTTTTGGACATTATTTCTTCAAATTCCCCCATCTTCCCCTCCTTTAATGTCCAAACTTAATGTGCACTGATGTGCTGTTTGTTTATATAATCTCTTTTTGATTTGTGTCTCATTTTGAAATGATGTTGTTATGTGCTATCAAAGTCAATTCTGACTTATAATGACAGAATATTACTCTCCTATAGGGTTTCCTATGCCGTGAATTTTATAAAGGCAGATCACCAGTTCTTTTTTCCTGCAGAGCTGCTGCAGGGCTCAACCACTGACCTTAACATTAGCAGCCAAGCTCTTAACCATTGCACTACAAGTACTCCTTATTTTGAATACTTTCTATTGTATCTTTAAATTCATTGACATATTTTCCAATAATGTCTAATCTGCCATTAATCCCGTCTAATGTATTTTTCATCTCAGATGTTTTGTCTTTCATTTTCAGAAGTCAGATTTCTTTTTTAAAAAATATCTTTCAGTCTCTACTTAGCATGCTCAAGCTTTCCTCTAGGCGTCTTACACATATGGTATATAGTTTTAATAAGGGATTTAATTTTTTTATCTCATAAATCTAGTATTTAACATGTAGTAAATAAACCTCTGTCATTCTTGGTAAGTTTCAGTTTACTTATTTTCCTCCAAATTACCATATTTTCCTGTTCCTTTGCATGTCTGGTAATTTTTGATTGAATACAGGACATTATAATGTGTATACTGCCGTTTTTAATATACAATAAAACTATGAAACCTGGACCTGTGTATGATAGAAACCTGAAAGAGAAGGAATGTTCAAATATTTTCCTGTAATAGAGAGTGATAAAAAAAAGTTATATATAAAAAAAAGACATACCCTGTCAAATGTGGAAGACTTCCAAGACACAGAAAAACAAGATTGCCCCATTAAATTCAATCTCTCTCAGGTTTCACTGTATTTGTAGCATAGTGCCTAAGGCACTTGACTGCTAACCAGAAGGCTGGCGGTTCAAACCCACCAGCCACTCCTCGGAAGAAAGATGGGGCAACCTACTTCCATAGTGATACTGCCTCAGAAACCCAAGGAGGGGTCGCTATGAGTCGGGTCCGACTCAACAGCACATAACAACAGTATTCTTGGGCTTTGATCTGAGACATGGCTAAGTTACTTGTGAAAAGTTTAAGTAAGCATTATTGATGGAATGACAGCTTTTCTCCACTGCTGGGTAACAACATTCTTAGTATTCTAACTGATGCCCTGTAACTTATAAGGTTTTCCACTCCAGATTTTGGGAACCTCTGGCCTATGTGAGCACTGGTGATAGTTTCTTCTAATCCTTTTTGGGGGTTTGTTCCTTGGCTTCAGAAAGTTTTCGTAAACACATATGATAGTCAGTATTCAACTGAAAGAGACTCTGTCTTCATTTGGGTTTCTCCTCACTGGTATTTTCCTCTGTGTATTCTTGGCCTCTTTGAACTTGCAGTTCTGTCTCTTCTACTAAGAAAATATGTAAGGATCTGCCTGTATTTTCTCTCCTTGTGTCATGGCCTGGAAAATTTCCGCAGGGAGGTCTTTGGGGTAATTTTTAGGACTCATCTTGTATGTTTTCTATCACTTAAGGATCACTTTCTTTTATTGTCTGACATCCACTGTCTTTAGAGCCATTGTTCTACGTATTTTATCAATTTTTTTTTTTAATTTCAGTTATTTCAGATAGGAGAGTCCCCGTTACTCCAACCTGGCTGGAAACTGCCATTACATTTAAAAAATGGTGGGTTATTTTGTTTAAAAAATCATTTGTGTGTCCCTTTCCCCATACTACTGCCATTTTTCTGTATTTACAATTCATACGGCTCTCTATATTTACAGTTTATCATCAAAATTCCAAATGTGATTCAGTGGATGAATTGGGGTTGGGAAAAGAGGGCTTAGGAAAATAAAGACTTTTCTTTTATATTTAAAAAAAAGTTACTGTTCTTAGTACTTGTGAACCGAAAATTCAGAATTGTTTTTTTTCCCCCAATAGAGGGTCATACAGATAAACCTACATATTGGAACATGAACAACTAAGTGCCATTACACAACACACTAGTATTAAATAAACAAATATAAAGAAAAAAACATTTAAATTTTTTTCATGTAATACCTTCTGTTGCCATGTCCCAACTTCCCATCTTCTGCCTCACCCCAAGAGTAAACTTCTCCTTCTGAAGAGAGGGCAAGACAGTGTTTTCCTCCTGAGTTCACTGCTACTTTTTTAATAAACACATGCTGAACGGATTCAAGCAACGTTGGGGTAGATACAGACTCTGTTCCTCCAATTCCTAGTCTGCCTCCTGCACCATAACCAGTGGCATACAGCTAAAGACAAGAAAAAGTAATATACACATATTTTTATCTAAATAATCCTCTGTTTAGTAATTAATAACCTTATTCAATGCTCCACATACTTTTATTGCAGAAAAATGAAATTTAAAATTAAAAAACACAGGAATGTTTAAGAATTTAGACATGCTTTACCCAAGTTTTAAAAATGAAAGAAAACTATATGACTATCAGAAATCTCAAATTCACAAGATGTATTCTGAGAATAAGATCTCTGTGAAAAAAATGTTCCTTTCTGTGTAGCACATCATCTACAATTAATACCAAAACACAAAACAAAACAAAAAATAAATAAATAATCCAGGAGACAGCTGTAACACCAGACAGTGAGAAGCAGCAGCAGAAAAACAGTGGTAGCAGACTGGATGGAGATCAGCAGAAGATGACGTGAGGGGCTTCCTGGCCTATGGAGCAAGAAAGCTTTGGACAAGAGGCTTACTGGTGGAGTAAGGTGCCTCTGCGCATTTATCAGTGGAGCTAAAAGCTTTGTAACACTTGCCCAAGCAGTGCAGAGACCAGGCTTAGGGGCCAAGGACCAGTGAGAGACCTGCCTAGGGGCATAGCTGAGAAGCTGTCTTGACTGAAGAACTATATCCTGAGTGTTTCTGAACCTCAACTCTAACGTATGGCTTCCCTAATAAATTCTATAACTATGAGTATGGTGTGTGAGTTCTAGTGAATTATCACACCCAGAAGAGTAGAGAGTGCCATGGGAGGGGTGACTGGTATCACAACTGGTCAAATAGATTGGAGAGAGGAGGCATGTCTGACCTCTGTATCACAGGAATCAGCTTTGGCCTAGTGAATCTGATTCTTCTTCCCCCTTGTGAAATTAGAGGAGGTCAGATGCCTTGGCTATGTCATTTTACAGCCACTGAATTATACATGTAGAAATTATTGAACTGGTGTATGTCCTGCTATGTATATTCTTAAGAGGTACAAAAAACTTTAAATACTAAGTATATATGTCAGTATAACCAGTGTAACAATTTTACTTAGGGTAAGAATTTTAATTATCTAGAAAGTAGAAAAAAAGAGAGTACCCTTCAACTCTTTTATGAGGTTAATACAACCTTGATATTTGTGACAGCCAGATTCTAATATGGTTCCCAATGATCTTGTTTCCAGGTATTCATGCCGCTGTTTAATTCTCTCTCCTTGAATATGGGCTAGACCTGGGGACTTGCTTGTAATGAATGGAATATAGCAAAAGTGATAGAGTGTCACTTCTGTATTTAGTTTATAAGACACTGTGACTTCTATCTTGCTAGCACTCTCTCCTGCCTTGTCACTTGATCACTCTTATGAAACTAGCTGCCATGTTATAAAGTTCTCTATGGATATGTGACAAATGCTGAGAGTAGTCTCTGGAAATCAGTTCACGAGGAACTAAGGCCTCAGCCCAATAATCATAACTACCACACAAGCAAGCTCTGAACTATAACCATGCCAATGTAGCCCTGAGATGAATTTAGCCATGTGAGAATCTGAGCTCACAGACAAGCGAATCAGGACCTAAAGTCCTGACCCAGATAAACTGTTTGATAATAAATGTGTGTTAAGTTTTAAAGTTAAATACATAGCTAATACAGTACCCAAGCCCAGAAAAGGAGTAAGACCGATAAATATTACATGATGATCTTCTTCACAAACAATGGTCTCCTCAAAATCCTAAACAAAATATTAGTAAAACAAAAATACATAAAACTCATCTTGATCAAGCTGGGTTATTCCAAGAGTGGAAGGTCATTTAATAAGAAAATATTAATTAATCCCATTCACAATATTAATCCATTAAAGGAGAAAACATTGATAATCAAAATTTGAAGAGTGACAAAAGTCAACATCAACTCATGAAAATAAAACAGAAAGTTCCTTAAATCAGATAAAAAGCAAATACCAAATGCTTATGACAAGTATGGCAACACATTCAAAGTGCTTCCTTAACAGTCTGAATCAAGACAAAGAACATGCTCACTCCTACTCAAGGTTATGCTGGAAGTACTACTCAGCACTATAAGCTCCCCTTTTCCCGCCAAAGTGGGGGGAAAAAAAAAACAAACATTTAGACTGAAAAGGAAGGAAAAAAATTCATTTACCAATTGTGGCTCTCTACGAAGAAGATACAAAAAATCTGAGCTACATTAGAAAGAAAAGAGTAGAATAAGGTTACTGAACATGAAGTTGACATAAAAACACTGATTATTTCTGCACACCAGCAGCAGTGGATATTTTTAAAACATACCAGGGGATACTGGTGGTAAGATGGCATACCTATAGCCCACACATTTGTTCCGTCTAGCAGCTTAATTCCTGAAAAACTAGGTGTAGCAGAAAGAATCAGGAACACTGGAGTTGTGAACAGCTGAGTAGGTGACAGGGTGCCAGATTTTAGTGGAAGTGGAGAAAAAGAGCAGATTAAACAGCTGGGGGAAAAAATAAACAAACCTGCTTGGCCAGAGGGGACATGGAAAAGGGGAAAACTCATCAGCAATGAGGGGAGAGCTCGGAGAGAAGGACGGAATAAAAGGAGGGGCACCACAGAACTCACAGAGACCTTAGGGACTCAGAACACACACCCTGGGGGCTTCTGCCGGTATCACTGGGAGCTGAACTGAAAGTAAATTAAATCATCACAATGTCTGCTCGCCCCAACTCTAAATCCCCTTCATGACAAACACAGACCTGCATCCACATTCCCAACAGTGATTCTATCAACAAAAAGAAAACTGGAGAACAACCAAGTACATTTTAATTAATAACCAAAAAAAGTATACCTGCTCCATACTTGCAAATACATTTAAACATAAAATCAGGGTGCAACAAGTCAATACATAACTAGCAGTTAAAAACAACAACTTCAAAATGTCTAGGGAACAACAGACAACCTCAAATCAAAATACAACAAAAAGAAGAGGACCAGAAAATAGAAATAAAACCCCAGACTAAAGATCATGGAATAACAGGCAACAGAATTATTTGAGAAGGAATTTAGAAGATATGTATACAAATTCTACAAGCGCTCAAGGAAACCACAAACAGAATCAACAAGAAGACAGACTGTACCCTGGAAGAATTCAGGAAAACCATTCAAGAGTAAAATAATAAGATAAATTCACAATCAGAACTCATACAAAAGCAGAAGTTAGAAATCCAGATGATGACCACTAAAATTAGAGAGTTAGACAACACAGTGGAAGGACAAAAGAGTAGACAAGAACTAGCTGAAGAACACATTTCCTGATAAGATAAATCCCTTGACTCCAGCCAGTATGAAGAAAAGTCAGAACAAAGATTTAAGAGAAATGAAGGGAACCTAAGAGTTATATGGGATGACGTGAAGGAAAAAAAAAAAAAAATACACCTCACTGGAATACCAGAACAAGAAAAGGCAAAAACAAAAAACAAAAAACAAAAAAACAAACCACTGAGAAAATTGTGGAAGACTTGCTAACAGAAAATTTACCCCATAGCATGAAAGAAGAAAAGATACCTAAGAAGCTCAATGAACGAACCCCATACAGGACAGTTCCCAAGAGAAAGTGAACAACACGTATCATAATCAAACTCTCCAAGACCAAAGACAAAGAAGGAATCTTGCAAGCAGCTCCAAACAAAAACGAAACACACTGCTGTCGAGTCGCTCAGGAAAAAAAGAAATGTCACCTACAATGGACAAGTAATAAGACTGAGTTCTGATTATTCAGAAACCATGCAGCAAGAAGGCAATGCATTGGCATATATAAATCACTGAAATAAAAGAACTTCCAACCAAGAATTCTACATTCAGTCAAAATGTTCATCAAATATGAGGGTGAAATAAAAAAATTCTCAGAAAAAACTAATGAAGGGAATTTGTGAAAACAAGACCAATCCTGTAAGAAATGCTAAATAGAGTCTTTCTACTAGAGAACCCACAACAGAGAACAATAAATAAAAATCAGGACACTTGACATCAACACTTAAAAAACAAAACCTGAAACAGATGCTCAAAATAAGCTCATAAAACATTGTACACAAAGAAACAAGGAAGTCAATCTGTAGGAAACACCAGAAACAAAGCAAATGGGGGGGGCATCTAATTACAAAACTTCCAACTGGAGAGGAAGACAGGACAATGTCTTTATAGAACAGACTATTCCAAAATTAAAGACAACATTCCAAAATTAAAGGTAAGAATTCACTCAGGATAACCACAAAGAAAAAGAACAATCTCCCTAAGCAAACAATGAAAGAAGAAAAACATATTGGCTTAGTAAGCACAAAACCAACATAAAGAAGAAAAGAGAAGAAACACTTGATAACAAATGAGCTCAGCGTAGGGAACTATTTGGAACAAGGAAATCACCAATAACACAACAAAAAACACAACAGAATGACAGCAATAAATTCATATCTATCATTAATTACAGGCGCTCTGGTGGCATAGTACCTAAAGCACTTGACTGCTAACCAGAAGGCTGGCAGTACAAACTCACCAACCACTCTTTGCAAGGAAGGTTGAGCAATCTACTTCCATAGAGATACCACCTCAGAAAACCAAGGAGGGGTCACTATGGGTTGGATTTAACTCAAAGGCAGTGAGGTTTTTTTTTTTTAAACTAATTACACTGAATGTGAATGGACTAAATGTACCAGTCAAGAGAAAGAGCGTGGCAGACTGGATAACAAAAGAAGAACCAATGATATGCTGCTAACAAAAGACCCACCTTAGATACAAAGATAAAAACAAATAAAAAATTGAGGGCTGGAAAAAAAAAAAAAAAAAAATCAAGCTAATGGTAACAACAACAACAACAAAAAAAGCAGGAGTGACAATATTATTCTAATAAAATAGACTGTCCCAGTAAGAGATAGAATACATGAACAGACCCATAACAAAAGAAGAAATTGAGCAGGTCATAAAAAAAAAATTCCCACGAAAAAGTCCTGGCCCTGATGGCTTCACTGGAGAATTTTACCAAACATTCAGGGAA